GCAGATAGAGTAGCATGGTACAATACCAACGGTACCTTGTAAAATGGCTAGTTAAGCTCTGTAATAAGAACAGCGTCTTATTCGTAGATTAACTCTTGTTTTTAAACATGGCAAAAAGAGACTTAATGGAACGGCATCTTGTCGGTAGATTATATATATGATTGACACATGGCCATCATATGGTTTTTATGGTTAGGTTTTTAAAGCCAATATAAAAATAATCTCGTCGTTAAATCGAATAAGAAGCGATATACAGCCAGGTAAAGCTTAAAGGCGAATTTCAACATCATTTCGTATAATTGAAAAGTGTAAGTACATTTCACAAGGTAATTTCGAATTGTGAAATATATTAAAGATCTTAAAATTATGCTTCCTTTATAGTGTTATTTCCATAAATAAATCAAAAATAAAAGTAAATATCTGAATAATAATGAAAATAAGAAGTTAAATAATCTTGTACTTATGGAAGCTATAGTCCAAAACCGTAAAATCCAGATAAGCTTTTCGATTTAATGAAATTGATGATGCAAGAATTCTTATTGAATTCAATCTGTGCAATTAAAGAGACGGTCACTAGATGTCGCAGGGCCTCTTTTTTCTTTATTTGACGGGAAGAGTGTCCTTTTTCATAAGGATAGCAAATGTTGAGGTTCTTTTTTTTTTCCAATTATTTTCAAGGTGAAACTCTTACGTTCAGATGGATATCTTTAGAAAACTCCTTTTATCTCTGAGAAACTCTTACTTCCTGATTCTTTTAAAAATAAATCCTTGTGCGCAGATTATCAAAATGTAACTGAATTGTGTCTACTTGAAAAAAAAAAGGCAAAGAATTGAAGTACTTCATAGAGTTAGTGAGGAACACACAATAGTGTTATTTACTGTAGTTTCGAATTAATATGCTTTTTCAATATTAAGGAAAAAGTGAAATTTAGATAATGATTCATATAACTTGACTCTTCCTTCAAATGAAACTATTAGAACACCCACCTCCCTTCTTCTGACTCCATAGGCCGGCAGTTATCCTATCGTCACAGAACTGCCTTTCTATGTCCAGTCTGTTAATGGTATAGTAGTATCCTCTTTCGAAAATTTTACAAGAATTCCATTCGTGGCCTTCCTGGGTTTCCAATCCATCCGGAAATACCTTCAGCCAATCCGAGTTTCAGACACGTCGTTCGAACAAAATGGTTTCATCATGGATTCGACGGAAGAAATTAAAAATACCTAAACCAAATTATAAGAAAGAATTGCATATATTCTAGCGCTACTTTATTCGCGAACGATGACAATTTCCTAACGGAAGCTTGTTTGTCACGACTCTGATTAGAAAGAAATTGTTGAAATCTAGCAAATCAAAGTGGTGATCTCTCACAGACATCATCTATCAGATCGCTCTAATCTTATATCGGGCTGTTCGGCTTACATAGCCGGTGATTTTGGAGAATCCTTTGCTGAATGAAAGAATAATGCTATATTTAATTGGTGTCTAACCTTGTATTCAAAGTCTCTTTCATTTACTTGAAAGACTATTTTTTAAAAGATGCTAAGAAAAACGGTTGAAGCTGGGATGCAGATAAGAGCTTGTGCTTCTGAATTTTAAAGGAATATAGATAGAAACTGATATATTACAACGTGGAGAAAAAGAAAATGAGATTGAAACTACTTTTATTAATCGTTTATATAAGATTATGAAGAGAGAAATATACAGTGCGGCAAATAATTTTTAAGACTCGCGCTAGATAAAGGCCAATAGCAGAGCCAGTTATGAAATTGCGCATGCGTATATATATTCGAAGCCTTATCTAGAGCGTGGCTTTGTTTCAGCCATTTTGGTTAACTCTTTAAAAACATACAGGCGATTTTTGAAAAGTAAAATTTTTTGTTCGTCGGAATTCTGAGATGGAACAGAGAGCGGTCATTAAATTTAATGCAAAACTTGGTAGAAGTGCATCGGAAACATATATTTTGATGAAGCAAGTTTATGGTACGTTATGTTTGAGTAAATAAAATGTTTTCATTTGGCACAAACGTTTTTCGGATGGAAGAAATACGCTAGAAGATGATAAGCATACTGGACGACCAAGTTCTTCAAAGACACCAGGAAGTATAGAAAAAGTGCGAGAATTTGTTGAAAACAATGATGGCAGAGGTTTTACACATCAACAAAGAAACGATTCGAACCATTCTGCATGAAGATTTAGGTAAAACTAAAGTCTGTACTAAATTTGTTCCACACACTTTAACGGGCGAGCAGAAATCAGTGTGAATTGCACATTGCAGGGACATCATTTCTGCCTATGAAAATAATTCAAACTTCCTGAAATCAATTGTTACGGGTGATGAAACATGGTGTTTTCAGTATGACCCAAAGACAAAGCGCCAAAGTGCCGAATAGAAGTCAAAAAACTCTCCACAAGCCAAAAAAAACGCGAAAAGTGCCATCAAAAATCAAAACAATGCTGATTACCATTTTCGATAGTAGAGGTATTATCCACAAAGAATTTGTTCCCGCTGGACAAACCATTACTGTAGAGTATTATTTAAACTTTTTGAAACGTTTGATTGCCAGAATTCGTCGCATTCGTCCAGAATATCGCGATGAAGACAGTTGGTGTTTGCTGCATGATAATGCACCGAGTCACTCCTCACTCATTGTTCGTCGCTTTTTGGCCAAAAATAACGTCTGTGTGTTGAATCATCCTCCGTACTCGCTTTATTTAGCACCATGTGACTTTTATTTATTTCCAAAAATAAAATTGAAGTTAAAAGGTTGTTTTTTTTTTTATGATATCCCGACCATCCAGAGAGCTGCGACGAGCACTTTGGAGGCGATTCCTCAAAGTGGCCTGCAAGAGGCATTTAATTCCTTATTAAATCGTTGTAACATATGTATTGAATCCAGAGGGGATTATTTTGAATAAAAAAATAGTAGAAATTGAATTAGCTTGTTTATGTTTTATTTCACAAACCCATTCTTAAAAATTATTTGCCACACTGTATATGTGTTCATATATAATAAAATATATACATATAAATAGGATTATTATACTATATAATTGTGATGATATATATATTATACATGGCTTCAACTGAGAGAAAAAATCGTAAAACGAATCACCAGAGTCCTTTCCTACAGAATGATCAAGTTTATATGGTAGATGGAATTGTCCATCTCTAGCCCAAGAGAGAGAAAACCCTATTGGAATAAAATAACCCCATATCTATTTATTAAGGCGCTTATTAGATTGATAAAAGATGTACGAGTATAAGTTACAGAGAGGTATATGCTATCTCTTTTCCTGCATTAATCTATTCACATGCATCTGAGATGCACTGTCATAACTGTCACATATAAAAAGCCATAGGAATTTTGAAGAATTAGAATGGACCCTAGTATGCCTGGAATATCTCAATAATAAATATTCTAACCAGCATGCACAAGACACCTGCGCTATGCAAATTCTTTAAGAGAATCGGGAAATCCTTCAGCCGTAATTTTGATTTCTGAGTAATCTTCTAGGGAGTTTGTGGGAGGAATGATATGTAGGCATTTCATTGATGGAATTGGAGGGGGCCTCTAAGATCAAGTTATATTTGAAATAATATAGACAATTTAAGGAAGCCTCTACTAAAACCCAGGATAATGAGGAAAGAAATTTATGAAATGTTTATAAAAAAAGGGGTGTACATGTGGATCTGTGGAAGGAAAAAAAAATTTTTTTTTCTTTCACAGATCCAGGTACGCCGTTTTTTATATAAACATAATCAATGGATCGACTTTTGACTCAAATTGATAAATTGTTATAGAATATAGTGAGTTCTCTTTAGAAATACTATTGACTATCTAAAGACTATTTGACCAAATGAGTATGGTATTCAAAGAGAGTCCTGAACTATAAAAAGACTTAAAATAGGTTTGTAGGCGATCGATTCGTTTCTAAGATGATACGTATATGAGAATTTGACAAATTATTTAAAGTAGTGTATGATATAGGAAATGTAATTTAAACATGAAAACTTATCATCCCGGTTTCAAAATGTATTGTGGCTCATTTAGTGATTTTTTAAGCATAAATTTGGTGTATAAAGTGAATATAAATCGCTGATTTGTTCCAATTTAATTCGAATAAAGAAACATATAAGTACTCGTAATTTTAATCATTTTGGTGTACAGTCAATTTTCTATCTAAGTTCAAACCAGGAGACCATACATTTCCGGTCTTAAATCACGATTTGTTCTTAAATACAGTATTTTAGCATCATTATCAGGAGCCATTGAAGCCTTAAGGTCGGATAATTTGTTAATCCATGAACGTTTCTTCGAACTCGGTCTTACCATTTTGGCTTCCACAGCACAGCTTTATTTCTGATTTGTGATTGGTTGAATGAAGTCTTCATTGTTATCTTTTGTTTACTATGAATTGAACTCTCGGTAAAACAAATACGTATGTGTGTTATGTTTTCGTTTAGATACTTGTCGCCTTCTAGAGTATTTCTAGTCAACTTAGATCATTTATTCATATTTGAGGAGCATATATGCACATATTAAGAATCTATATAACATAATATTGCACAATAAGAGTATCCTTTATTCTACATTTACAAAAGTATCTTTCGAGCAAAGAGCTCATCAATTTCTCTATACAAAAACCAAAAAGTTTGACAAATATGGTTTAAAAAGGAGAATATGTACCAAAGACACCTATCCATTTAATTCTGCATAAGGAAGAGAGAACGATTTATGTTTACCACCCAAATATTACGCTTATCACTTCAATAATTATCACTACAATAAAATAATCTTTAAAGTAACTTATAATACATTATAAAGGACTGCGGCGAGTGATTATAAACAATACTTAAAGTTACACCGCATAAGTTTCTTTTTTGTGAAAAATCAATATTTATTTCAAAGAGAAATATTTACTATTTCTAACTTTTTTGGATGAAGTATGAGAGGGTGAAAATATGAAGAGTAATGGCGAACGGAAAAATAATAGTGTCCAGGGGCGGGAATCGAACCCAAAACCTTCTGTTTACCGGGCAGGTGCCATGTCCACTAGGCTAACCTTTACTGTGTTGATAAAGAATGAGCCACAACACCAGTTTTAGCAAAATTAAAAAACAAGCCAAAAAGCATACCATGGTTTTGGGCTTTGTCCCTCATCAGTACAGGGGCAGCTTCGATTTCATACCATCCTACGGGAGGAGCTATGAAATCAGTCGATTTCACCAAAAGGTATTTAAGCTGTCGAATACATCTTTATAAACTATATTTGCCAGACATGATGGTTTCGCTATATAGATAATAGACCCGTTTAAGGTAGATTTATTCCAAAAGTCTGCTTTTTAAATGTAGAATAAAAGCTACTCATAGCAAGTTTGTAGTATGGATTCTATATAAAAAACTTCAACTATAATCACATATTATATACATTTATGATATAAAGTTTATTGTTTTATATAGTTTTCATGGTGTAATAGTTAAGGCTTCTTTGATTATGAGAAGATTCCAAGTTCGAATCTCGCCTGGAACGTTCTTTAATAGTTTTAGGAGCAATATTTTTCAGGATATTTCCCCAATTGGAAAAGCACGTAACTATGATGTAATTATGTAAATTGATATAAAATTATTTACCCAAACATGGCGTAAAAGTTTGAGCATAGTTTCTTAAAAAAAAAAGCTGCATTAAAAATACTACTTATTCAAACTGTTAGAAGAGAGAATTATTATACAGTTAAATTTTTTAGGCAAATACACCTTTATATTTTGAGGAAACAAAATAGTATTATTAATGCGTGAAATGAATACTGACTTTTCTGACATTTTGTGTAATAACTATGTAAATCTTATTTTATTGATTTGCATAAAATTACAATATAATGAAAATACTAAATGAGGTAATCTTAATGGAAGTTTTTAATGCTGAACTGAAATTTGTGATTTATCAATCTCTCAGATGGGTTATTCTCACATTAAGTAATTGTTAAAATATTTTGAAACTTTATATCACGGGATATTTATTTCCACGGGATTTCTTTATATTTCATCCATTGCTCTTTTTAATTTGTCACTATTTTTGTGTATTTGTTTTTCCACTTTTATTTTTGTAAACCTGTACATTTAAAAGTATAGACCTTTTATTTATAAATAATATGGTAAGAAAAGCATTATGTGGTATATTTAATTTTTCATTTAGATTTGAATAAAATGAACATATTTTTGCAATACTTTTGTAAAAGGGAAGTATGTATCTTTGAAAAGAGAGGTAACATTTTAATGATCAACTTTAGGCAAAAACAGACTTTCAAATCAGTGAATATATAATTTAAAAACTTTGAGATATTTACATATAAGTTATGTAGAAATTGTTTCTGCATTTTGAAGAGAGGTTTATGGATTTGTAACCTGTATTTTTATGCTTCAAAAAGAAAAGTAAAATAACTTACCTTTGTATCAACGAAGCAGAAATGCACATCCTTTCCCCATAGAGCATAGATGTAGCGCTGGCCGGTCGCCATCCTTCTCTTCTAGCAGACGAATGTCGCTAGGCAACGGAAACGCCGCGCATGCGTAGAATAATTCTTTATGGCGCGAAAAGCATGTCGTCTGCGATGTTTACCTTTTTTTTTTCTATTGGCGCGCGCCTTCATCACCGTTGTTTACGAAATAACTTTAACGTTTTCTCTTGTCGAGAATAATAATAACAAAATGTTTACCCATTATTTCCTTATATCCTAGAAGATTGCAAAAAATATTGTGATAAATGATATCTAAAATAGGAAATATGTAATGATAATATTAATTTAGATAGACCCGCCCAGA